CACTGCAGCCTCCAACTCCTGGGCTAAAGTGATCCTTACTCCTCAGCCTCCCAAGTATCTGGGACTACAGGTGTGCACTACCACACCAGGCTAATCATTTTACTATTATTATTATTACTATGTTTATTATTGTAGAGCTGGGTTCTCACTATGTTGCCCAGGCTAGTCTTGAACTGGTTTCAGGTGATCCACACGCGTATCTCTCCCAAAGTGCTAGGATTGCAAGTGTGAGCCACCACATCTGGCCTGACGTTCTCCTTATGTTGCATCAAGCCATCATCCATTGGGCGCCCCTGGATGCGCTCTGTCTCCCTCTCTCTCTTTCTCTCTCTCTAATGCTGACCTACCCAGTAGAGCAGGGGCCAGCCAGAGGGGGACAAAGTCACCCATCCAGGCACCACCTTCCCACATGTCCCTGCAACTTCTCTCCTTCCAGTGTGCTGAGGAAGAGAGGTGCCATCTCTCCTCCAGAGAAATGGCCCCAGAAAACGATCTCAAAAAATACCCCAGGGAATGATTCCTTATGTAGCCCCTCCACCCCTCTCTTTATAAAATCTGATGATTACAAAAGAAAAGAATGGGTTTTTTCTGTGCACACATATCCCCCACCCAACACCGCCTCCACATCCCCCGATGGGTCTCCTACCTCAGGGACAGGATCTCCACACCCTTGAAGGTGAAGCCCCGCATGCCTGCAAAAATCTTCTGCATCTGAAACACCAAGGATCCCTGGGCTCACGTCCGAACCTGCAGACCTGAGGGCACCCAGATGCCCAACCCCAGCTCCAGGGGAGCACCCTTCAATTCCCCTCCCCTTCCAGGAGCCATGGCTCACGCCTGTACTCCCAGCACTTTGGGAAGACAAGGCAGGCGAACCACAAGGTCAGGAGTTCGAGACTTGTCTGGCCAACATAGTGAAACCCCATCTCTACTAAAAATACAAAACATTATCTGGGTGTGGTGGTGTGCACCTGTAATTCCAGCTATTCAGGAGGCTGAGGCAGGAGAATCACCTGAACCCGGGAGGCGGAGGTTACAGTGAGCCAAAATCGCGCCTTTGCACTCCAGCCAAGACAACAGTGCGAGACTCTGTCTCAAAAAAAAAAAAGGAAAGAAAAAAAATTCCCCTCTCCTTGCCCTTTACCTGATTCCAGAAGGTCTTGTTGAAATCCCTGTAGGCCTGAGAAGTGTTGTCATTGAGGTCCGGCGAGAACTCCTGATCGACAGACACTTCCATGTCCACCTCAGTCTCCACTACATCTGCACACAGCATGCA